AATCATGATCCAAAAAGAAGGGGATTCATCCCATGCCTATTCATAACACTGCTCTCCCTTACGCGTTACGAGCTAGAACATACTCCAGGCCTCCTTGCATGATGAATGACACCTACTTTGCCCTTCACTTCCAGCCTGCTCCACTTTGCTTATTTATGGAGCCTCAATGCACTGACAGAAACCCTTCTCTCCCAGCCTGTCCATGGGACAGAGCTCATCGTGGGCACTGGGCTTGCGACGAGCAGTTTGGAGGGGGAGCAGTAAGACCTGAAATGCTGCTCCTGGCCTCGCCGCTGTGCCAAGACACCCCAGGACCTCTCCAGAACTGCTGCACTTCCCACTGACGCTCCTCCCAACAGCTGGTAGTTTCTCTACCACATTTAAAGCCCTTTCTCCCACCCCGTGTCTCGGAGCTGGGCACCAGGCTGGAGGGATGCCCGCCTGCCCGCTCCGAGGATGCTGTGCCTGGGGGGTGCGAGCGGGATGTCTCCTGCTGCATTTAGCTTGGCCAGCCCATTCCACAGCCTGCACACAGCCTCGGGGGGGGGGGAGCGGTAGGAAACAACGTACCAGCCAGCCAAGCCAAACATCAGGAGGTCAAACGCTGCAGCACGGCTTCTCGGAGATGACACACGCGCCCGGGGCAAGCCCGCTTGTCTCCTGGCGCGGGAGCATCTTGCAGAGCCCTGCGTTAACACCGCAGCTGCAAACGCCGGCTCTTGGCCCCAGGCTTCAGCACAAGCTGCCTCCCTCCCAGGGACGAGGGTTTTGCAGCCTGGGTGGGAGGAAGGTGCTGGGGTGGGTGGTCCCGGTGCAGAGCACAGCCCCCCCTTCCCCAGCAGCGTGCTACGTACGGCTTCTGAAATAATCCAGTCTTCATTAACTTGTCAAATTAAGAAATTGAGAGCTGTCAAAGTATAGTGAAGATTGGAGGTGGCTTTTATAGCAAGCCGTGGAATCTCCCACTGTTTGTCTAATCTAATTTCCTCATCTTTGTTGTCCTAAGAGAATCATTACAAGAGAGGGAGAAGTAGAAAGATGAAGACATGAACGATTTCCAGTTGAAAGCACCTCCCTTCCATGTGCGGGTGCAGACAAGAGGGTTTATATAAGCTGCTCGGGATCAGTAATTTTCCTCTGTCACAGTCATGTTTGTGTTTAAAGACAACTGTTAAGCTTCATCCCCTTTGGTCAATCCTGCCCTCGGAAGAACGTAAAAAGTGATTTCTTTTGTACTCCCATCAACTGACAAAGGCAAAGCATTGACTGAGCCTTTTCTGACCCGTGGAGCTTTTGTGTTCCTCACTCTGAGGTATTTAGTTAATTATTACTGACAAGACTGTGCCAACCTGTCCTGAACCTGCCACGCTAAAGTAAAAGCACACAAAAGACCAAGTAAAGCCCATAGCATGAAATGCCTTTAAATTGAAGATGCTTTGGCATGCTCCTCCGCAGCATCAAGCAGCATCACCAAGGCACACCACGCGACATGAAACCACCTTCTCCTCTGCTTGCTCCTGCTCCACCCATGATTTTTTTCAACACTGCTCTCCACAACAAAACTCTACAAGCATCTCCATGCTGCAAATAAACCGTAGATCAAAATAATTCATTCTGGTATGTCTCTCATTTCCTGAAGCACTTTACAAAGGCAGTTAAAAAAGGAAAAAATAAAATAACCACCAAACAACAGTACAAAGTGAGAGAGCTCAGCACAGAGGTCTTAATATACAGCTGCAGCTCATTTCAGTGCATGCAATTGGTGCCAGTAGCTGGTGAGGGAACCCCCCATGCTTCGTGCAATCTCTCCAACACACACAGCTCAGAGAGGAGGGAGATGTTGCTGTGTGTGGAATAACCATGGTGGAAACCTGCCTCCCCGCAGAAGAGGCACAACCAGGTTGTTCAAAGGCATGCACGGCTGAGCCAGCAGCCCCAGCATCACTGCTGCAGCAGGAAGGCAAAGTATTCTTGGAGAGGCAAACACTCCTGTCATCCAGCCTTGGCTTTCCAGAAGGCAGAACCAGAGAGTCTTCTGAAAAAGCAACAAGTGGAACATCTCAAGCCCCTGCAGCTGAAATGAAACCCTAAGGGAACCAGCTGCTGCAACAGAGGGAGAACAAGCTGTCCAATGACAGCAGCAAAACCAAATAAACTGTCAATACCATCTTTGCTGGAGAATGAAAGGTTAAAGCCATACCAGCAACTGGTTGGGGATAGGCTTTTGAGGCAAAGCTGCCATTCCTTCCCTGCTAATTGTTATGTTTTCCAAAGATTTCATCGACTAAGTTGTGTTCAACAAACTGCTATTTAATTACCAGAGCAGAATCCTGTTAATTAGCCAGCCCCAGAAGACAGCCCTTCATCCCCATTAAGTGAAATTCCCAACTAATCCCTCCAGCAGCAGCTGTGTCTCAGCCTGGGGAGCCAAGCAGAGCTATTAGAGACACCCCTGAAGTTGGGGGGGGAACAATCAGAGCTCGGCTCCCGCCTGAGGCCACTGGCCATCTTCAGGCCTGGGAAGGTGCAAACCAAAACAAGAAGTGTAATACTCAGAAGTAAAAAGCTATCCGTTCCTCTTACCATTTCTCAGCTGTCTCTCCTGGCTCCATTTGCCCTGGGGGCTTCAGTCACAGCCCGGCCAGCATCTCTTCTTCCCCTGGGGCTGGTGGTCCCGCTGTGTCCCCAGGCTGCTCCCATCCCTGGGCACAGTCCGTGCTTGGGCCCGTGTAAGAGGCCAGCAGCTCTCCTTCAGCCATCTCACCACCATCCTCCACTTATCACCACGTAGCATCAAAGCTTTCTCTGGGAAGAGGCCATGAGCACCTTTTAGAAGGTGCTATGAACCTTTCTGGAGCCAGCCAAAGCTCTCCCCCTACCTCACCTGGCTGCCAAGGACAGAGGGTAATTCTTGTGGAGGATATGAAGTTCCCACAGAATTCATAAAAGCAGCCTGGTTAAAGGAGATGAGTGTTCCCACTACGTGAAAGGCTTCAGTGTGACCTGCCCCACCAGCAGAAGCCCAGGGGCACCGTCCCGGTGTGGGCAGGGAGCAGCCGGGGCTCGTTACCCATCCCAAGAGAGGAGCAGGTTTCTTTAATTCAGCTAATGCAGCAATCTGGTGTTTCTTTGCTGTCTGTCACCATGGAAGTTAAATGTTTTAATTTTATGTTGAAATACCAGCAGAAATTAATTTTGCTAAGAAGTTGTAGGCTCTCCTTTGATAACCATTTAAACAACTGATATGTTTTTGAAGTAGCTGGGGGGGGGGGGGAGGTGGTTCATTTAAGCAATTTCAATAAAGCAGATCTCCAGGTGAAAATAATAAGTATTTAAAAGACTACAAAAATTAACCATTCAGCATCGTTTGGTATAAATATATCTGTGCTATGTGGATCAGTAGGAATGAAAGGATGGTTCAAAAATTCTACAAAGTTTTTAAATTAATTGTTGCAAAATTCCAATATGTAATTTCTCATATTCCTGTAAGCTTACATTAGCCATTTTGAATCAAGCCCAATTTTGTATTGTGGAATACAATATACTGAATTTTAGCCAGAAGATAGTCATCAAAAATTATCATCAGAATTAAGCCATACAGAAAAAAATCCCCAGTTTTATAGACTAGGGATTTAGAACAATGAAAAACTGACAACAGTTCATAATGTGGACTTTGGTAGTCAACATGCAGCTACCCTACCCTACGGCCAGGATAAAGTCTCTCTCAATCTCTATCCAATGCTCAGGCAGAGAGGTCTTTAATATTAGTGGCATGCAAGGCATCTACATAAAAATAATTTCCTTCAATAGGATAAATAAAGTAATATCTTAAATTAGCCAGTTCCAGTGACATCATCAGATCGACCACTTCTGCCAACAGATCCAACTCTGCCAAAGTCAATGGTCATGCTCAAAACAAACCTGGAGGAGAGGTAAGAGGCTCTGGCTTGTTTCCAGAAGTAAAGGCAAGCAGGGGGTGAGATATGTGATTAATTCTCCATTAGTATTCCACTCACATTTCCTCCAAAGACAGGCAAGTATTTCAAGTGAGAAATCTTGCTCATCAGGCTGTTGAAAACATTTTTGTTCAAGTTCTCTGCCCCTCGCTTCTCCAAAGTCACTTTTTGACTCTCACACAGACCTGGAGGCTGTCCACGTACCTCACACCTGCAAATACCAGCTAGCACTTCACGGGTAGCTGGTGTCCCGAGGCCCCCCTCTACCCATTCCCTGGAGAAAGGGGGACCCCACTCACTGCAGATAAAAGTGGAGGCCACGGCAACAAGTTCGTTTCATCTCGCAGGGGAAGCACCGTCCTACATTCCCTCATTTCTCAAGGAGGTTGGGTATCTCCACGTGGGAGCTGATGGGTGATGATGTACCTACAAGAGAAACTACACTGAGTTTCAACACTGTTTGTAGTTAAATATAAATGTGGTTTTGTTTTTTTTTTAACGGATCTCAGACAATTTAGAGGTAATCCAAAGGGAGTAATATCATAAAAAGTAATCCTTGCAGCATTAGATATATCTTGGAAAAGATACAGTGGTAAAAATTAATCTAAGCAAGGCTAGCTGGAGTGTTTCATATACTGTCACTGCAATGTAGATATAGATATAAACATCATACAATTAAACTGGTAATAGTCTCTATGCTTTTAATTTTGAAACATTAAATTTAACTGCAACTTAAAAGCACCTCAAGTATTAACTGAATACATACAGGAGATACTACTAATAAACTTCAGGCCTTCTTTCTGATTTAGAAACAAAAATTTAGAAATATTTTAAACTATGAAAAAAATAGCTTCTAAGACAATGAGTTTTACTGAAAAACACAGGTTTGAAAAAGCAGGACCAATAACATTTAATGTCAAAAAGCAATTACAGAAGTAAGACATTTGGATTTTAGAAAATTTGTTTAATTAATAATGCTCATTAACTGCATAGTTTTAATTCATAAATACAGATAAAGTTGTAAAAAAGAAAAAGTCTCAAATGTGCAATTCTTATTTTTAAATTTATTTGATTTTAATGGCTGCCTCTTAATATACTAAAGATGTGGAAATCAGTGCAAGTTGAACAGTTGCCAAGCAAAAACCTCTTAACAATGAAGTAATGCTCAGTGGAGTGTATGTTCATCCCTACCTTGCAGCTTCTTATAAGAGGAACTACATCAATCTTTGGTAGTATATTAAAATAAACCAACAACTCAAAGAATTAATATAGACACAAGTTTAAAGATTAACAACACTGTTTATAACTGTTCATATTCACACTGCAACACAAAATCCATTTCTTTTCTGGTTTTTTGGTTGTTTTTTTTTTTTTAAAAAAAAAAAGGTCACTTAGGAAGTCACGATGGCTTGAACCATATGATGGAATCTCTTCCTTTGCACTGAAGTCAACAATAATTCTGATACTGACCTTTGTGGGCACAGCCGTGGGTCTAAAATACTCACAGAACTGTGCAGGATGGATCCAGTTAGTCTAATACATTAGAAATTATTCATGGCACTTTCGTGAATGTACAGAAAAATATCATAAGAAAGCATACAATATAAGAACATTAAAAAAAAAAAAACATCGCCTCTTAAATAAGAGGTGTGGAGTTTGCGGGGTTTCCTACTGAAAGATGTCTCATTCTAGGCTGAACAGGGGCTCTTTTGAGATCACTACAATTAAAACACTCATTAAGATCATCCCACAGAAGTTTAGTCCCAATTGCTATTTGCTTTTACAGTACGTGTGCCATTCTTAGTGCAAGACCAGATGACGTTGAATATTAGAATAAATGCAGTGCAATTTCTTTCTCTCTTGGGACAAAACCAGTGAGTAAATCTTAACATGATAGGAATGTTTTAAAATGAAAATTCAAAACATATTTCACCAAGCCAGTATTCCTCTACAGCAAACCATCTTTGTGCCCATTTGCATTTAACTAAGTACAGTACAGAAGAAATGAAAGCCTGCTACCTTAATGAAATAAGAACAAAACTAATCTGATTGAAAAAAAAAAAAGTGGCCAAAATATCTTTTTAAAGAAACAATGAAAAAAAAAAAACAAACCCCAAAAAAAAAACAAAAAAAAAACAACCAAACCAGAAGTAATGAATTGCACGTTTAGCAGTCAAGGCAACTGTTTTTCCTCATTTTCTCAGTTTGAAATGTTAGAAACTCAAATGAGCCACTGTGAGTAGTGCTTCTGCAGGGCTTCCATCCATCCTTCTCCCTGTCCAGTCCACCTCAAAACACCAAATAATAATGAATGAGCTTGGCACAGTCTGCTCTTAATGTTTTCCCCGTCAGCCTTCAAAAGCACGATGCTCTCTGTGTGCTAAGAAAAAAAGAACAAAAACAACAAACTCTGTCAAGGAGTTGAAAAGATTAAAAAAGAGAAGACAACAATGAATAAAGCAGTCGAGGAAGACACATGCCAATGAGTGATCTTCGGGAATACTATAATCTGATAATACATTTATATAGAACCTAAAATAAGAGATCCTTTAAAATCCTAGTGTAAACTGTTCCTCTAAATGAATACTTAAATTGAACAGCATGTAGTCTTGGGAGTTAGCAAGGGATTTGTCTCACTCATTTTACAAATCAAACACATTAAACATGAAACCAACTATATTCTACACTTAAACTAACAATATCTTATGTTTCGAATGGTAGCTAACTTTTACACTGAAGGGACAAAACCATGTACATTTTTTAAGTAATAATTTTAATTCAATGAGAAAGGCTACGTTTCCAAATGGTTAATGATGACTCAGATGGGATATTCCTATGGAAATACCCTCACAGCATCTTGTTTCTCTAATGAAGGTGGAAATTAACAGTACAAAATACTTACATTTGTAAAACGCCACTTTAAAAGATGTGTGTGGCAGGAGTTTATGTATCTTTTCTAAAACTTTTGCTTCACTTGCTGAAGAGGCATTCACATTCCAGACTTGCACAACATCTTCACGGTCACGAACACTGACGCTAACCCCTATTACTTCATCATCTGCACAGAAGAGGAATCATCATTAAAGAATACTTTAAAAGTGAGACATGTCTCATTTGATACTTATGTATTATGAAACATTGCCCAAAAGCTGAACAAACTGAAGAAATTAAAAAGAGCAATCTCCATTGAGGAGAATACCAATGTTCAAACTAGACAAAATAGTTACCAAAAAGAAACAAACACTGCATTTGTAGAAATTATTGGAAATATTACTTCATACTGGTTTTAATAAAATGCCATATGATTATTCATCTTTGCTATTAGCACTCTTATACTTGATTAAAAGAGAATCACAAGACTGCCTTCAGTAAGGTTAGTAATACAAACGACTAAAGATAATTTACCTATAGTAATCTAGTCTATAAGCAAAAATGAGGGGGTGAGGGTAAAACAACTAAAACCCCAGGAACAGCACCTGGAGGAGATCAGACACCAACTTGTCCAGATTTTGCTCTTTTTCCTTTACATTTTATCAAGGCAGCAACAGGGGGGGGAAAAAAAAAAAGCGCCAGTCAGGCTGCTGCTGCCAGTGTTGGTAACTCTGTGCTTTGCTGAAGTAGCCCTTTTTGGTGTGAAATTCTCAGGATACAGCTTTGAAGAGCTCAGCCTAAGGCCATGCTGTGGCTGGGAGTGGTGGCTGCCTCCAGCAGTGACCCCTGCACCGCAGATGCACCGAGCATCCAAAGGAATGGGTCAGTAACAAGGATCATAGAACTATGGAATGGTTTGGGTTAGAAGGGACCTTAAAGATCACCTAGTTCTACCTCCCTGCCATGGGCAGGGACACCTTCCACCAGCCCAGATTGCTCAAAGCCCCGTCCAACCTGCCCTTGAACCCTTCCAGGAAGGTGAGATAACACAAAGGTGGTGTCAAGAGCACATGGCCAAGGGGAAAACCCAACTCTGTAGGCAGCAGAATATCATGTATTTGCTTAAACTGACCCTGAGACCACCCTATCAGTATAAACGGCAGAAACACTCCCTTCTTGACACCAACTCAGTTATGCATATTACAGATTTTTAAAAGCAACTCTTAGCAATGTCTCTCACAGCTCAAGGATTTGAGGCTTCTCTCCTCTATCTTCCGATTTTGAAAGTTGGGAAGGCAACGAGAGAAATACACTATTTGAGAAACTCACTCAACAAAACTTTCGTAGAAAAACCAAAACCACCAAGATGAATATACCAGCAGCAGCCTACTATAATATGTCTGCTCAACCATATTAGCTAGGTTTAAGAGAAGCTGTTTGAAAGGTTTTTGCTGAAGAGCTCTGCAAATCTGAGAAACACAGTTCTTTTCTCTAGAACGATTGAGCAGTGAAGAAACACTCCTCATGGGATATCCACTGTCACTGCAACAGCCAGTTTAATCAGCTATTCATGCTTAGGAGAGAAGTAAATACGGTCAAAAGAAATGATGGAGAAGTGTCATTTCAACTGAAAAGTTAGTTGAGTAACCAGTTCCCAGAACTTCTTCCCTCTAGGCCAATGGATCGGTAAGTTTATCATTCACTTCACTCAGAAGCAAGAAACAATTCTGTCAGCCAACCTTAACGAGTTAAATGGTCACAGAATTGCACTCGCTCTTCATGACTAAGAAGCAGCATCTGATGATCTATCTTAAGCCTGCTGCTGTTCACACTCCCTTCCCAGAGTCCATTTCCAAATGAAATGTGCAACCTTGCAAACCTAGAGAAGATATTTATTCTGAAAGTGGCTTTGTTAAATTATTACCTCTGACCAAAATCACATGTGAGCCTCTGGATGATTAATGCCTGTTTTCCAGTAAACCAGCAAGGTATTTTAAGAATATTTATGTATATTCAATTACACTAAAGATCGCTTTGACCTAAGCAGTACTTTTAAGTGATAATGAAAAAATTGCCTCTGGGTAGAGTGCCAAGCTGGGATTCAGGAGAGCCAGGTTTGTGTTATGACCCTGCCATGGACTTTTAATGGCACTCCAGGCAAACCATGCAGCTTCCCTCTGCTTCAGGTCTGCACTAGTGCTTCCCCGACAAGTCCTAACCCTGTTAGGAGAACCGAAAGGGACTATGAGGGCTAAAGGGGGAATCCATCTAATTGAGTTGCTTCCAACAGTGATAGTACAAACATGTCACTTGGAGTTCCAGAGTCTTGGCACCATAAAATTAATACTAATCATTTAAATGCTGGCTAACAGATAGATATTTAATAACTAGAAAACCTGCTGGCTTCCCAGGGATGCAAGCTGCTGAGCTTGAGTCTTGTGCTAAGAATATCTTGTCCTCCTCTTAATGACAATGGGTATGAATATGATTTCCAGCCCTGTACCACATTTTCATAAGTGTTTCCATGTTCTTCATTCAAACTCAATTTGTCATAGTAGCTTCAATCATTTTCAAGTTACCTGCTGCACAACAGTCTGCAAACTGCTCTCCAATAGTTGCTAATAGTAGCTCTTTCCAAACTGCAGCCTAGGGAGGAAAGAAAAAAAAAAAAAAACAAAAAACAAAAACAACCCAGTTACAGTTACATTATTATTTTTTAAATTAAAGTTAGGTTTGCTAGCTCAGTTTTGAATGGATTCTCTTTAGGAGGTTGTTCAAAAAAGAACATTTATTGTAAGTACACACTGTGTTATATAATTAATTTCTTCAATACAGTTGGAGGATGAATTTAGACCCTGAAAATACAGTTACACAGAACTGTTCTAATAAATATTTAAAATATTTAACAATAAGTTTACCTTCACTGTATCTGTGTCCACAACTCATCCTGAGTGCACTAGTTACTGTAAAGCATGAAAGTAGATTTCTCCCAAGAATTTCCCATGATAAAAGACCTCAAGACTCCATTTGTGATCATTTGTTTCTACAGAAAAGAATTACTAACCACTTTAAGAAAAAGTACCTGAAAATTCTACCAGTAAATTGATTTCTATTTAAACATCATCTCTAATTTGCCTTGACTATGAAATAAGTCCATCTTTCAACAAATTGAGATGTTCTCTAGAGAATTAAAACAGGGGGAAAAGCTAACTGCCACTTTTCTCTGGCTGTTAGACTAATTACACTGCTGTTTGGTTTTCACACTTGTTATCATCTAAATCAAAGCACATACAAAACTTCGACTGCATCTGGACCAATGTAATGGTCCAAGGTGTGGGTTTATAGGGACAGAATATTTTATTTATTTCTTGAAAGAACACATCAACCTGAATATTTGTCTATATTATCACAGTGACTTTTTCATATACAGGACAAAGGGTAATGGTTTTAAACTAAAAGAAGGTAGATTCAGATTGGATATAAATAAGAAATTTTTTGTGATGAAGGTGGTGAAACACTAGAAGAGTTTTCCCAGAGAGGTGATAGATGCCCCATCCCTGGAAAAATTCAAGGCCAGGCTGGACGGGGCTCTGAGCAACCTGATCGATTTGAAGATGCGCAGGGCTTGGACTAGATGGCCATTAAAGGTCCCTTCCAACCCAAACTATTCTATGATTCCGTGACACTTTTAATGAACGTGTTTCTGCTATATGAAGTTAGCTCAAGATTTAGCACTATTAAAAAACCCAACGTACCAAATGCACCAGGTTAAAACAAAAAGCAAGCAGCCACGAAAATGACAAACTAATAAACTGCTTTCACGGCAGTTTCCGAGTACTCCTAAACCATCTTCTAGAATACAAAGGACTTCTGTGACTCATTATCATCTAATCCAACGCAGCTTTAAGGTGGTCGTAAGGAAGGCCCCCCCGGTGCTCCCCAGGCAGGCTGGGGACACCAGCACCGCAGCCTCTGGGACGGAGCCTTCCTCCCGCCAGCGAGCCGCTCGGAGCAGAGTTAAGTGTCAGTGTTCTGTCAGTCAGTTTTTCGTACCACTTGAAAGAGTGATGTATTTAGAAAAAACTACATTTTCCTCCCTCCACATCCTCACCAAGAGCTGCTATAGCGTATCATCTTTTTGAGCTAGGTCTGTACAAGATGGTTCATCTTAGCCAAGGAGATGCTGTGTGCACACGTGATGAAGAATGAAGCCAAAAAATGAGAAACAGGCATCAAGGTATTATTTACACTATTTACAGAGGCACTAAAAGCTGCCTGAAGTTCACCTTCAGTTAAACCTTTCAGAATTGACCTGAGACATGTGGTACGTAGTCTGAGAGATCAAAAAGTACCTTCATTTCAAAAAGGGGCTTTCATTCAGCCTCTGAAAAACAAGGCCTCTGAGGTCCCTAAATTCACCACCCAGTAATGCAGGCTCCCCAAACCACTTGTCACTTCTGACAATCTTCACACCTTGGATTATAAGAAGAAAAAGAAAATGTCAGTCTTTTGTGATCCCTTGGGACTGCAGGGGAGGAAAGCTGCAATTCACATATGGGGAAAAAGCCCACAGGCAAAAATCAATTAACTTTTGGCTGAAATTTCAAGTACCATCTTTCAGCATTTAATGCCTTTTGCAAGGCTGTCACATTTTTCTGACACTTCACTTTTTTGTGTTTAGAGGCCTGATCCAGAACACACTTACACATAAACACCACATGTGAAGTGGTCAAATCTCCTCACCATGACAGTTCACAGAAGAAGTTCCTCACATGCATTTGATTAGGAGCACAAAGAGAAACCCAGTTGTTTCAGCAGGGCTAGAACAATTACGTGCCTGAATGGATTTTATCTTTCACAATTAAAAAAAAAAAAAAAAAGGGCTGTGGTGGCAAAAAAACTGAGCAGCACTACAGTTTTGTAAGATGTACACAAGATGATCTGACAACTCATTGTTGACAAAAGGGATGATCCCACTCTTCTTTCTCCTTTATCCCCTATGTCCATCAAAAAAGCTTTCCTGGACATACATTCAAATTAAAAATAAAATAAATAAGAGACTTTTTCTTACATCGGAGTGCATTAATCTGGCTCACAAAATAATCTGATGAGCACCAGTGCAAGAGGGATCAGAAGAGAATGAGCAAGAATGAGCAAGATCTTTCATCTTCCACTGGGAGCCAACTATGGGTTGGGATTAGCTGTCACTGGAAACAATGCCCTAGTCCATGTTGAGCTACAGAAAATCACAGCGCTGCTCACCACCACGCATAGGTGCAAACAAGCAGTGCCAAGCAGAAACAATCCTCCTGGGTTTGACAGAGGGATTAGGAGCATTTCAGTGAAACTCTGGAAGCTGTGCTGGACTCTGTGTGTTGACTTTTGAAGAGCATTACTGAGGTTCTGGCTATAATTTAGCATATAATATTATCAGGAAATGATTTTTATTTTTTTTTTTTTGCATGCCTGTAAGCAAACAGTCTTGAGAACAAAGGTGATTAGAGAATAATGTGTTTCCAAATGGAAATGGAATATAGCACCATAGCTTTCATTTTCTTGATAATACATCAACAAGTGTTATCAAAAGCAAGAGGTACGGAATTACCTGAAAAGAAACTTCTGCTCATTGTCTTAAAATAAAAGGTTAAAATGTTGTTTGGTTATGGTGTTGAGTGATGTCAGAGCTAAGAAGCTTTACAACAGCTTTATCGGATGGAGTTTAAAGAAACCCCCTTACTAAACAATGTCTAAGTAAAAAGTCAATATTACATACCGTACTTTCTTTAGGGACCTTCATTTTCCATATACCTCCTTTGGCATTGCTTTCTTCTTCCCTGGTTATGGAAAATAGATCCGTAAAGTAAACATTCATATCCACATCTAGATAAACCTATGCTTGGCGTTTAATTTTCCCAGAAAAATCCCATTTAAAATGCAATTACTAACTCCAGGTAGCATGACTCAAGCTATGACTTCTGACATCAGAGATAATTTGTTCATTGTTCATATGAGGCGTATCTCTCAACACCTAATCCCTTTCCTAAGTTTTGTGTGTTGGAAAATACTTACATTTTCCCTGACTACAGACCGTCTTTGAAGTGGCTGCACACTATATGGGAACAAGCCACAAAGCAATTTTATGTTTTACTATGGTAACCTTGTATTTTGGAAAAACTCTAGCATATTTTCACAGAAGCAGCTTATTACTCTCAAGATTATCCAGTTTAACAAAAGTACATGAGAGCACTTCATTTCAGTTTTGTGACAACTAGAAATTAATTGCCCTTATTAAAAGAAAGGCTGAAGCTGCCCAGGGTCAGGGCAGACAAAACCATTAAACTTCCTCATAACAACAAAGTCACAGCATACAAACCTGTGAGCTTCAAGTTTATTCTGTCATAATTCTTTTTTGTAGTACTTTTAATTAGAGTTCTAGTTTCCTGTTAAAACTCTGTAATAGCAAAGTTCAAGGAATAACCTAAAATTCATCTTTGGAATATCTAAGCCCAGTATAAGACCTATAGAGATTCCCCAGGGTCAATGGTCTCCCACCAATCCAAAGAAACACTGGGAAAAGGAGAGGGAAAGCTTTGGAAAGACATCTTCTAAAATCTGCAGTCCTCATTTCTTACTTCAGAATTTGTTTTTCTTCCTAAAAAACAATGCTGCAATTAGCCAGTATACTATAACTCTAATCTGAGAAAAGCTTCTTGGCAGTAAGTACCGAAAAGTTAGCAGATAACTGATGACATCAATCTCACAATCCCTTTCTTAAAATACAAAATTACTTTGACAGTCTTAAAATAGATGTATAATTTTTAGAAGAGGTCTTTGCATTTCACACCTCTAATAGTCACTTACCAAATCAAAACTAAAAAGACAAAAAACAAACCCCCAAATGTTCTCACTCATTCTTACAAAGACACCAAGACCTGCACACAACAGTCCAGTTGATTTATACAAACACGAACATTTTTTCAAACCCAGTTCAGCTATCCAGACCAGTCACAGTATTTTTAGAAAAGTAATGTAGACTTCCAGATGTATTTCACTTGAGAAAAATTATTTACTTCTTCAGTAGATTAGGACATAAATCTCCTACAGTAAGTCACCACCCAATTAGACACACTATGATCAAGTTAAAGAACTCTAATGCAAACGGTGTTAAAAAGATCAAAAGTCTTCAGGAAGCACTTAGGATCTCTAATTGAGATGTGATGGAACTGCACCAGGAAGAAGGCATGCAAAACTCAATTTCTGAAAGGAAAACATGCCATTACTATCCTACAATCCTACAATCAAGTAGGAATTTGCTGCAATGAATCACTCCATAATGCCTTAAATTAGTTTTAATCCAAGGTGTGTGTGCATCTATATGCACATGAAACATACTTTTGCACAGGTTAAGAACAGTTAAGGACCAACACTCATTTGCATCATTATTACATTAGCCTTAGTGGACAGAAAAAAAATTGCAAGTTAAAAATAATTCGGACAGAAGTAACATATTCTGTGTATTCTTGAATTGAAATTCAGAGTAATCTTTTAATTTCTTAACTTCTATTCCATAATTTAATTTCTTTCTTACATTTATGTTCAGAGGTGAACAATTAAATTACAGTCTGTGTTTTTAATAAAAATTCTAATACAAGTCACTCTTAGGCTTAACAATATCCTTAGGATATTTCTTTTGTAGGTCTCTTAAGTTCAGGCACTTGCAGGCAAGAGAAACGAGACACTCCCATCCCACACCTGCTTCCTTTCACCACTTCAGGTTTTTGCACTGCCCATTCCCAGAAATGTCCAACTATAACACACATACCAAAGCGGCCGTCTTTCTCCCCGCATTAAGTGGTAACTACTTCTCAGAGGCAAACTTGTCACGGGAGGAATGTTGTTGTAGACACTCCAGAAATCCTTAAAAAGAAAAAAATATTAGTTGCATTAACACAAGAGAGAAAGTTTCATGAAGATTTACTTGTTCATTCTCTCTAAAACAATTACATATCCTGCTCCTAGACAACTGGCACCTTCTATGTTATAATAAAATGCTCTGAAAAGAACTTGTTGCAATTTCACTTATACTTCTTTTTTTTTCAGATGCCATTTCTGCATAAGGTGGAGTTAGAAAGAAGAGAAGCAGTTGAACTGTGGGTTACTTTAAAATCAAAGTCCTTAGGAATAGAGAGAAAAAAAAAAAGTCATCAAAATCAGAGTTACATTAAATATGTCATAACAAACGAGTACATTTCAAAATTTTCTTAGCATATTAATAATATATACTTCTATCAAATATTGACCTTATTTCATTTAAGACTAGTCTAAAACTTCATTATGATTACCCTGAGTTACAAAAACACCACAAACAATAATTCTGCTGAACTAAATGCCTAACTAGCAATCCAACTACTTCGTCTAGATCACAGTGAAAAGTTTCAAACAGATGCAAAGAACTTAAGGGGAACATATTAATACAGGAATGGAGGAGAAATCAGAAGATCCAGGTTACCAGGAACCATTGGATTATGTCCCGGCATTTCTGCTGGTAAAAGCAGAAGCTGTCATACACGTTTGGGGTGGATAAAAGGCATTCAAAAGCAGTGGTGAGCAACAGGGAAGGATGACTGAAAAGATCCCAATCCCCTTTCTTCTTTATCCAACAGCTGGGAATAAGAAAGGATTTTTAAAGACTTACATTGCATCAACATGCAGTGATGCAATATTAAGCATTAGTGCAACTCATTATCTAATACTTAATCATTAGCACAACTTTAGAAACAAAGATTGCTACATTACATGATAAAATTTTGTGGCCCTTGGCAATTCTACCTACCAGTCATCACCATTACCCAGGCACAAGAAAAGATGGAAGACTATTAAAAATATAAAAACTTGGTATGAAACACCCATTTCAGCTTTCATTTTACTCTTACCTGTTTGTGTGGCCAAGCCCTAAAGCCACCAACAGAAGTAGAAGGAGCAGAGCTACGCCAGCAGACGACCGTGGAAAGATCTGAGAGCTCTTATGTCCTGAATCAAGGACCTAGTTTAGAGGGTTTTGGTTTCCAAACATTGTTCAGGAGGTGCTGGCTGGCATTGCCTATTGACTAGCTACTGCCCATGAAGGGCAGTGATGAAGTCAATGAGGATTTTGGGTTTCCTTTCTCAAGGAAGATCATATTATGTGTACGACAGCACAGTAAGGCGTGCTGTGGGCCACGCCGCTAGCTTCCGACAACCTCATCCACGAGTCTTCCCAGAGGACCTGAAGGAGATTTTTCCACTTTAAACCCCAACCTGATGAGAAGAAAACCTCAAGTTTTTCAGCCAATAAAAGCTAATCACTTAAATAATGAAGAGTAGATTCAGAGTGGGGAGAAAGATAACACCACATACTGTGCACACCAGTCCATGGCCTTAAGCTGTCCTTTTTTCAACAAGAACCGTTGCAGCCTGCTTTGAAGCAACCCCACTTCTGTCGTCAGCTGTAACTTCAGAGTGTCACTTCATTGCGTGACCGATGGGGATGTTCTGCTGACACAGAGAGTTGAAAGGGAACATCTCCCAGGGGTCTGCATGACACTTCCATCCTTTATGCCAAAAAACTTCCACTGATAACCTCGGCTCCAGAAAACTCCAAAAGCCAATTAATTTCTTAGGCCAATTAGCTGGGAAGAAACATCTCATGCAATGTAACAAGTTGTGCAGATGTTAATGAGAGTCTTATTTAAAACTTCAATAGATCACTAGGGCTGGGCTCTTCCAAAGAGAAAGGCTTGTCATTACCTTAGAATTTCAGAGATTTAGTGAACTAGAGTCAGCTTAGCATTAAGGTGAGACAGATACCAATTTTCTATATTTCATGCTAACTGTGGTATTAAAACAGAAATGCAATTTTACTTGTAAGAGATGCCCACTGCTTGGCACTGGCAGACGATAGAGACATATTCAGAATTTCCCATTGCTGCAAGTATTGCATGATTTAAAAATACTTTAATTCAAGTCAGTTTGCTAGAATTTTTTTTTTTTAAATTCATACTCAAGGAGAGAAAGAAGAAAAAAACCCACAAGCTGTAAACTTTAGTCTTTGTGTAATGATCTTCTGTATTCTAAAATAAATAAATAAATAAATAAATAACAACAAAAAAACAAATAAAATGGAGAAAAGGCATGAAAAATATTTAAAATACATCAAGTATAACAATCCAATGGAGGCTCGGGTGGAAACCTGGGTAAGTGTATGAAGAGGTGGATTCACTGATCAATCCAATATGCTTCCTCCTTTTCTGGCCTGGAAACCAAAATAAAATTCAAGCAACAACCAAGCAATACCACACACAAGCAAAAACACACACGTTTCATACCACAGGTAAGCAAAGCTGCAAGTGTGACTCATCCACATGAGGAAAAATGAAACGTAAGGTGTGAAGTTACATTAATAACGGTGCAACTCCTATAGCAAATCTCTACACCTCACCTGTACTGTCTGTACTGTATAAATCTTCTTCAAATTTGACGCATATTCTGCCGCTGTCGAACCAGGAAGTGACCTTGAAAACAAATTAGAGATTAAGAAAAATATTTATTAATAAGCAGGGAGAAGGGAGATGGATGGGGAAAGTGAATCACGAGTGCAAAGTTGAAATATTCACACGTCAAAGTTGCATAATAAACTCCAACCCCAATTACCATGACTCATTTAAAGATAGGAATTCAAGTGCTTTTATACTTTTGAATAAATTAAGATTCACCAGGTGTTTTGTGAAGTATTTTGATTCAGCAGGTGAATTAGGAGTTTTAAACCACGAGTAAGGGTGCTCCTTCCCAGGGCCACCCCACACCGCCCTGCTGCTGGGCACTGAGGAAACCTCCAGGCAGCGCCAGCTCCTGCCCCCCCCCCCCCCCCCCCCAACTTCTTTTTAATCCCATTTCCTACACCCCGGGCCCCGCTCTGCGCGTGTGAAGGTGCAGCCGGAGCCGCAGAATTTTTTTAAAAAGAAAGGAGAAAGTCACGCGCGGAGGCTGCGGGATGAGGAACGGCCGCGAGGGGGCGCGCGTGGGCAGCGGCGGGAGGGGGGGGGGGGCGGGGAGAGGGGTGGAGGGAGAGGGAACGGGGGGGCTCCAGGCGGGGAGAGGGGTGCAGGGAGAGAGGGGAGGGTGCAGGCAGGGATGGGGGGGAGCTACAGGCAGGGAGGGGGGGCTGCAGGGAGAGGGGGGGGGCTACAGAGAGAAGGGGGGGCTGCGGGGAGAAGGGGGGGGCTGCGGGGAGAAGGGGGGGCTGCGGGGAGAAGGGGGGGCTGCGGGGAGAAGGGGGGCTGCAGGGAGAAGGGGGGGGTTGCAGGGAGAAGGGGGGGGCTGCAGGGAGAAGGGGGGGGCTGCAGGGAGAAGGGGGTCTGCAGGGAGAAGGGGGGGGCTGCAGGGAGAAGGGGGGGCTGCAGGGAGAAGGGGGGGGCTGCAGGGAGAAGGGGGGGTCTGCAGGGAGAAGGGGGTCTGCAGGGAGAAGGGGGGGGGCTGCAGGGAGAAGGGGGGGGCTGCAGGGAGAAGGGGGGGGCTGCAGGGAGAAGGGGGGGGCTGCAGGGAGAAGGGGGGGGGCTGCAGGGAGAAGGGGGGGCCTGCGGGCAAGAAGAGAGGGGGGAGCTGCAGGCAGGGAGAAGGGGTGCGGGGGGGGGGTTGCAGGGAGGGAGGGGGCTGCGGGCAGGGCAAAGGGGCTGCAGGCAGGGAGAGAGGGGGTGCGGGCAGGGAAAATGGGCTGCAGGGAGAGGGGCAGGGGGCTGCGGGCTGGGAGGGGGGGGGGCTGCCAGCAGGGAGAAGGGAATGCAGGGAGGGGGTGGGGGAAAGGGGCTGAGGGCAGGGGGTAGGGCAGGGGGCTGCAGGGCCCTGCGAGCACGGCGCTCACCAGACCTGGTCACAGCCCCCGCCACAAGCCCCTCGGGACCCCCGACGGGACACGCGTGTGGGCTGAGAGCGGGACACATCCCACGAGAGGACAGCTCACTCTCCAGTGGGCCATATAGCCCCACACATGCAGGAAACCTCCCAGACTTCAGTCAGCCCTTCCACCACCAGCACTTATTTGGGTTGGTTTCATTGCCCAGACCTCAGGGTTCCAGTAAGTCACCTGTTCAATCAAAATATTTTACAAAATACCTGGTGAAGCTTAATTCATTCAAAAGCATAAACTGAGCTTCCCTAGCTCACCCTCATACTGACTATTCCCAACTCCCACCCGGAGCTGCTCCCTTTAGGCAAACACAGCACCGACTGCACCCCATCATCTTAAAGGTCTTTTCAAGCCTAAACGATTCTACGATTCTATTTATAACCTTCATCACGACTCCTCAGTGCATGCGACGTGGGATGGGTGCATCCACGTCCTCAGACATCACCGGCTCCTGTCACCGCACTAATAGCACATCATATCACCCAGTTTACAATCCCCAGCACATGCCCCCACAGGCACAATTTGGGAGGAATGAGGTCAAAATTGCTCAGGCACGTTCAGTTGGTTAGAACTGGAAACACTTATTTTCCCACCTCAGAAGCTGAAGTAGGATTTCTAAAGAAAAGTGAAGATCAAAGACAAAGCAAACCTCCCATTGCATCTCAGAAGATGAAACAAAAATGTGTAAAATGACTAAATCTGGAAACAGAAGCAATGGAGATTTAAAGAAACAGGGGAAAAAAAATAGTTGTTGCTCAGGTACCTGCTGATGAAAGGATAAGGGCAAACCAGATCCCAGTAACCCTCCCATCAATGTGGCTATCTGCCCTGATACATCTGATCAGCATGAAATATAGGAAAACACTAAAGTAACTCTCAGTTGTTACAGACAGAATTCAGGCTCTGGGGCAAAAAACAGATACTCATATAAAGGAAGAAATTTAATATGCAAAACTACTGAAACAGCATCACATCTTCAAAACTTTAGTAATAGCTCCAAGGTTTTTTGAAGGCTCCTATTGTAATAAGCTACTTTTAAAATACATACAAAACCAGCAGAGAAATCCCTCCCAAGTCTTTCAATATAGAACAGACAAACTAACATCTGCTTTATTATTTGCCTGTTGATCACTGGAGGAGAGTACATTGCAACAGAGGAACTGGTGAGAAAACAGTGTTACATGTCCAAATCTCAAAAATCACTGTAACTAGAGGTTATTAAAAAAAAAAAAAAAATCCTCCCAAGAAATCACTATGGTGCAGGTTCTAGTTCTGTGGCTCATGAACTATGAAAACTCCCATGGAAAAACTGACAACTTGAAAACAACAGCAACAAACAAAACTTTCATCAATCTGCTCAAAAGGAATTATCATAGTAAGGTCTGGGGTTGGGTTTGGTTTTTTTCTTACACTCTACATTCAGCATTAAGGAACAAAAGGAAAAAAATCAAAGTATTTAACAGAAACAGTCAGATGGCTTTTGAATGCACAAAAAAAAGTAGTAAGTTAAAACAGACTAAAACTTTATCAGGTGTTTGTCAGTAGAGAGTATTGGATTTGCAACAAACTACCCTTTTGTTTCCCCCTTGTTACTGACAGAAGTAGCACCTCTCTACTAACACTTTGTTTCATGTATAATAGAACACAAACAGGCAAAACCTGAGATAACTTTGCCTCTTGTCTCACACCACTGTCCAAGAATTTACTTCTCTTAGGCACTACAGCTTGCTAACTTAGCAGTCACCAATACATATGGGGTTAACTTTCTTGTACAACATATAGTATCATTGCTCTCTATACTCACACCGATACTGCCACTGCAATGCTTTGATAGTAAGATCTACTCAAATGAAAGATTAAAATCTATTCTTGAAGGATAGCCTTCAAAGGTTATCTAGATAATCACAGTAGCTATTTAGCAAATTCAATGCAATTTAAGAGCAGCTGAGAGAGACAGAATATTCCACTCTGAAGTTCTAAAATGATTCATTTTGATAGTTGCAAATAACATTTTCCAGAGAAACTATGTGATCAGCTGGCAGAAAACATCAGCCAACCAGTAAATTGTCTGTTTTAAAAGTTAAGGTGAGTGACCATTTATGTCTAGTAACCTGCCTGGCAAGTGCTCCATGCCCACCAGATCACACAGCATTATCTCAGTCTTTCACCCAGCTCTGAAAAGTGTCAGTGGTTTATAGGTATGAGCATGAACCCCAAACTTTTTTGTTAAAAAAAAAGCCCAACAAACTACCGAAAGGACTGCAAATGAGAAAATGATGACATGCGTCAATTTAAAAGTTCAGGATCGCTTACTGCAGAAATTACACCTGCACAAATTTGGCTTAATGGATGAGTATAAGGCAGAGACAGTATTTTAATCACAGACAGAGGAAAAAGCTCAGAAAGCCCTGCAAAATTACAGACTGCTAACAAATCCAAACTGCAGTGGTAGAGCCTCGGGGATAACGTATGTAAGAAAGGGGAAAGATAACTGTGGGAGAGCAATGGCAGCTGAAGAGGAGAGTGAGAATGTGGGAGAGGAACAACTCTGCAGCCCCCAAGGTCAGCGGAGGAGGAGGGCAGGAGGTGCTCCCGGCGCCGGAGCAGAGATGCCCCTGCAGCCCACGATGAAGCCCACGGCGAGGCAGGCTGTGCCCCGCGGCCGTGGAGCTCCACCGTGGAGCAGATGCCCACCTGCAGCCCGGGGGAGACCCCACGCCGGAGCAGGTGGGTGCCCAAAAGAGGCCGTGACCCCGTGGGAAGCCCACGCTGGAGCAGGCTCCGGGCAGGGCCTGTGAGCCCGTGGAGAGAGGAGCCCACGCTGGAGCAGGTTTGCTGGCGGGACCCGTGACCCCGTGGGTTCCCACGCTGGAGCAGCCCGTTCCTGGAGGGCTGCACCCCACGGGAGGGACCCGCACGGGAGCAGTTCGGGAAGAGCTGCAGCCCGGGGGAAGGACTCACGCTGGAGAAGTTCGTGGAGGACTGTCCCCCGTGGGAGGGACCCCACGCTGGAGCAGGGGCAGAGTGTGAGGAGGCCTCCCCTGAGGAGGAAGGAGCAGCAGAGACAGTGGGTGACAAACTGACCACAACTCCCATCCCCGTCCCAGTGCGCTGCTGGTGGGAGGAGGCAGATAAAGCGGGAGCAAAGCTGGGCCTGGGAAGAAGGGAGGGGTGGGGGGAAGGTGTTTTAAGATTTAGGTTTTATTTCTCATTATCCTACTCTGATTTGATTGGCAAGAAATTAAGCTACTTTTCCCAAGTTGAGTCCGTTTTGCCCATGATGGTAATGGCTGAGTGATCTCCCTGTCCTTATTTCAACCCACGAGCCTTTCGTTCTATTCCCTCTCTCCCACCCAGCTGAGGAAGGGAGTGATAGAGCAGCTTTGAGGAGTACCCAGTGTGCAGCCAGCTAGGTATCCCAGCCACCCCTAAATTCAGCAGATAAGCACAGATGAGAAATGAAGGAGGTTTTTGTCTTGAAAGCCATGAAATGGTGATTTTATTTTTTTTTTTAACTGAGTACACAGAATAATTTTAAACTACATTAGCAGAAATGGCAGATGATGTCCAAGTGAAGGAATCTGTAGAAATTCCTGCTTCTGCAACTCT